TTATATCTATCATGGACTGCCAGAAGAACAAACTGGCCTGTCTTGGAGGAAGTGCAACCACAAAGTACTCCTTAAAAGACAGGATGGTTAAACTTCACTTCACGTACTTTGGGTATGTTATAAGGATGGACTAGTCCTTAGCAAAAGACATGCTGGGAAAAGAAGCAGGTGAGCAAAAGAGAGAAGGATCCTCAACAGGCTGGATTAACACAGGGACTGTACCAAAGGGCACAAGCATGCTGGAGATGATGAGGATGGCACAGGAAAGGTTCAGATCCGTTGTTCATACAGTCACTATGAGTCACAGTCAACTCAGACACCTAAGAACAATTTGTACCAGAACCTCAGCAATGTTTCACAGAGACCTCATGCATCCAAGAAAGCAATAATTAAAGCCAACCAGGAGAAACCACCTTTTGTTTTGGTTATTTTCCAAACAGTCCTTTATTGCGTGGTCTGAGAGGGACGCCACGTGACTACGCACAGCGAAGGGCAAAATGCCACCAGAAACCACATGTTGAATAAACCAAAAATAATACTGAAGACTAAACTCCTTACTGTTGAGTCGATTATGACTCAAACGACACTGCAGGACAGAGAAGAACTGCCCCACAGCGTTACTCCTAAAGGCTGCAAATCTTTACAGAAACAGACTTCGGCGTCTTTCTCCTGGGATGTTCGAACTGCTAATCTTTCAGGAAGTAGCTGAACATTTCATCACTGAATAATCAGGGTTGCTTAAAATGTGTTAAAAATCTATTATATTACTGGCAAATTAATCTGTGGTAATTTAAAAATATAACTACATTTTTGTAAGGTTTTAACATGAATTTAATCATGAAGAATCAGTCAAGAAAAGTAAATACAGATTGCAGACATTGTACAGACACATTGACCTGAACTGTTCAACAACGCCAGGGTTGTGAAAGACACACATACATACAGCAGGATAACTCCGATTAAAGGAAAGTAAAAGTATCAACAACTAAGTGTATCATGTAGTCTTGACTTCACCCTGGATTTTTTTTTTTAAAAAGGTTATCAAGAAAATTTGGGGAATACTTTGGAAAATTTGCATATGCCTCATCTATATGAAGTAGAGATAAGAGGTAGAGGAGAAAAGAACTGATCAAAGACACAGAGGAAAACACTACTTTGCCTATAAATGCTGCTAGCTAATAGTATGGCACGGGGGTAGAAACTGAATCCTTATCTTCATTACACAAAAACCAGAGACACAAGATGCAAGGAAAAAGATAAAAAAGCTCTACTCAACCACAAAAGGAGAGATGGAGAACACGATGAGGGCAAAAGGAAGAAAGGGAAAAGAGGGATGAAAAGGAAAGTGAGGGGGAGGGAGGAACCGCAGAATCAGGAAGGCATTTGCAGCTAGTAACAAAAAAGTGAGAAATAAACTTACAAGAAGCTACAAATTAGTGAGGAAAAAAAGACAACCCAGTAGAAAAATGAGCAAAAGAACATTATTAAAAAGTAAATGCAGGGAGATAAAATAGATCAATAGTAATTAATTACATAAAAGCAAAGTACTGATGACTGTCTAAAACAAAATGTGCATTAAAGAGTATTATATATATAATACAAGAATGTATTATATAAGAGTGAATGATAGTATAAATAAATTTTTAAAAATTAAAGAAAATAATACATTTGTTTCAACATGTAATTATTTTTATCTGACTAAATTCAAGTCGAATAAATTACAACCAAAGAGAGAGAAGGGAAAAGATATACACAGAAGTTATTGGTAACTCACTCAAAAACAGGCAAACTTTACTGCTGTCAAATCTGAACCAATTCACAGCCAACCATCAGGGTTTTCAAGGCTGTGGTTGTTTTGGTTAACAGTGAAATTCTGGAAGACCTACTCCATGAATCAATACCATTGTAAGATACCATTACAGAGCCACAAGACGACCAAAATTTTGAATTCTGAACAAAAGCAAGTGTTGCTGAAGACACAGAACAACAAGGGCTCGTGCTGATAAGGATCCAGGGCAGCAGAAACACTCCTCCACTCTCGGTGAAATACTCATTAATAAAATGACTGTACAAAATAGTTGGCAACATCAATACTACAGAAGATGTATATACTTTATGATCTAGCAATTAAACCTCTATGTCAAGATTCTTTGTGAATGTGAACCTGGAAACAAAAACAAGAATGTTCATATAGCTCCAGAAACTAGAAACAAATGTTCATCTACTATTAAATACTTAACAACAACAACAACAACAACTAGAGAGCTCAGTTGGCCTAGTGGGCAGAAAGTGATGCTACCAAGCCAAAGATGGGTGATTTTAGTATGCAGCCCTCAGGCCGGTTTTGGTTTGGGTTAAACATTTTTCTAAGTGGTATAGCACTGGTCTATTCATTTGCTGTACAGAGGTAACTCGTGGCTGCTGTGATGCTAACCACTGTGACAGTGATGTGACAAATGGGATAATGGTTACCCATGGTGGACAGTGTTTAGTGGAGCTCTCCAATTAAACAAGCTTGGAAGCAGGAGCGGCATCCAGTTCCAAAACAGCTTGCCTCTGGAAACTCTTATGAATGTGGAGAAACAATAAAAGTTATACAAGTGTTCAGGTCTTTCATTCATAGTTGCTATGAAGTCGTCTACGACTCTACGGCACTTACCACCACCACCACCACTATGAAATACATACTCCGTGGCATATTTCACAGAAATTCTATGTAGCGATGAAAATGAACCATAATGGCACTGCCACTAACTAGATAAATGGCATAAACACAAACTGAGAAGATGAAGCAAAACCTTAAGTGATAAATACAATAAACCAATCTATTAACCACCTCCCAAAAAATGTTTAAGGAGTCCACAATACATGGTAGAAGTTAAGGAAAAAAAAACAAAATTAAACTTAAAAAGTTAAAGGAGAGGATCGCCACAAAGGTATAATACTGGTTACCGATGGGGAAGATAGGGAGCTCTGAAGGCCTAGAGGCTGTATTACAATTCTGAAGGAAGCAGGATGGGCAATCTCCTCTCATGTGTTTAACTGTCTCTGAAAACTCGGTGGAGGGTCAGCTATTGGTTGGTTCTGACTCTATAGTACACAACAACAACATGGGGAAGGGGATTTTGATTAGAAGGGGGAACCGTGGCAGGTGCCTTTGAGTAGGCTCTACCTATTAACAACTTTCCTGCACAGTTTGTGAATGTGCATTTTACGTAGCTCTGGTAGTTCAGGGGTAAGGATTTGTGGTGCCAACAGAAAAGCACGAGGTTGGAGCATGATGAGCAAGCTCCTCCCACGCGATCTACAGCCTCTGAAAACCTGCTAGAGGGTCGGCTATGAGTCAGTTCTGACTTGACGTTTAAAAAAAAAAAAAAGCTAGAACAAAAGACTAAGAAATAAGGTTACAAAACTAAAAACAAAAATATAGGGAGCTCTGGTGGCCAAGTAATAAGAAATTGCGCTGCAATCCCAAAGGCTTGCAGTTTGACTCAACCTCCCTTGCTATTAACAGCCTCTCAAAGCCTGCTAGAGGAGCAGCTATTGGTTGGTTCCCATTTGATGGTACTCAACAACAGTGTAGGAACAATCAATACCAAAATATTTTGTTTTCCTGAACTGGGGTAACAACAACTTAGGGCTGCTGCGGGGGAGGGTGTCCTAAGACAAAACATGTATTAATTAATGAACTGATCACTGTGCCTCACTCAAACTCCAGCTCTGGCAGTTTTTCTGACTATAAACATCCATGACATCAATAAAAGGCAAATCTGCACATTCACTCATTCAGAACACACATAGTGTTTACTACCTGTCAAACTCTGCTCTGGGAAACAAGCACAAAGCAAAGACTCGATGCTCTGGGAGAAGAAAGGAAAGCACAGGAACCCCCATCTCCACCCTAATTTGGCCTCCACCTCAGACTCCTTCCCTATCTAGTTTTGAACATGGAAAACTCAAGAAAGAACTCAAGACACACCTGTATGCAAATCCACTCACTACCTTTGAGAGTCTTTCACTAGAGAGATACCATCTGTTTTCATTCATTTGGTAGAAACAGTGTGTACCATTTTCAAGTGGGAAACAAAGTTGCCTCATCAGTAGCCCTAAGTCTAGGCCCAAGTATAAACTAGTGATTACTGGAAATGGTGGAAGAACACTCTACTTTGGCAACATCAGACAGTGAAAACCATATAGGGCAGTTCTGTCCATGTGGGATCACCATGAGTCAAAATCAATTTCACTGACAGCTGGTTTTTATGAATCCAACAATGTTTTCCTTAGGCCTTGTCATTTAACTGAAATTAATCAGGGACTTGTCATTTTTTCTGAAACTGTACATTAGGTTTCATGCATAAATGCCTTTCACTCAGATGACGATCCAGAGCTTTCTTGTCTCAAAAGGGGTTCAATCATATAAGAGTGGATAAACCCTGCTTCTGGACAAGTGCTGGAGGGTTGGGTTTTTTGGGTTTTTTTTTACCCAAACACTCGTTGTTGAGTCGTAATCAATTCATAGCTGACCTGTTTTCTGAGGCTGTCCTTTTCTCCAAGAGCAGCTGGTGGATTCGAACAGCCTGCCTTGGGGATGGCAAGGCAACTCCCTACAAACTAGGCTAGCAAAGTGGGACAACGTCTTGTCGTTGTTACGTGCAGTCAGGTCGTAACTGACCTTCCAGCAGGTTTTAAGCAGCAGCAAATCTCCCAGGAGTAGATTGCCGCTGCTCTTTCCTGGAACAGCTGGTGGATTCGAACCGCATTCCTTTGGGACTGCAGCGTTGCTTCTTACCACGAGGCCATCAAAGTGCCAACCCATCCTAGCAACAACTGCAGAGCTGAGCCCCCATCAAGAGAATGCATCAACCTTCCCGGCTGCACTCCTGTCATTCATGTTTGGTAATCTTTGGGCGCAGAATCCCAAAGTGACGTGTAGGTGCGTTTCACCACCCGAGGGTCAGCATCCTGACCCCAGGCCTCCGCGGTGCGGACCCAATACTTACTCTCAGCTCTTCGAAGGCTTCGTCTAGGGTGGCGAGCTGGTGGCCCTGGTGAGCCCCGATGACCGGGCACAGCACACAGATGAGCCGCCTGTCCTCCTGGCAGTAGGTGCTCAAGTCCAGCCCATGGTCCGGACACTTTCTCTTGGCCACTCTCTCGGCTTCCATCTCTATCTCCGGGTCGAACTCACTCTCCGCCTCGGTTTCCCCCTCGGCCTCGGATTCTCCCTCCTGGTTGTCTTCCTCGGCCTCGCTTTCTTGCTCGTCCTCCATCTCTTCTTCCTCGCTGTCTTCGTCGCTCTCCTCCTCACTCTCGTCCTCGCTCTCTTCCTCCGTCTCGCTCTCCTCCGATCCGCTCTCCTCCTCGGACTCGCTCTCCTCCCCGGCGCCTTCGCCCTCTACCTCCGTCTCGGTTTCCCCCTTGGCTTCCACCCGGGCTGGGCCCTCGCCCTCTGTCTTGGCCCCCGAGGTCCACACGCCAGCGCCATGGATGTACGCGGCCAGGTGGTGACTGAGGAACTTCTGCCGGTGCACCTCGGCGTGGCGCGGGCAGTAGCAGAAGCCGCACTCTCGGCAAACCTCCTCGGCGCCCGGGGCCTCGTCGGGCTCGCACTCGTCACACGTGCCGTCGTGCGGCAGCTCCTCGAAGGCCGCGCCCACCGCCGAGGCCATGTGGGCGCAGGGACGCGGCCTGGGGTGGCCGAGGCCCCGGAGCCCGCGAGCGCAACGCCTCGGCTCGGCCTCTTCACGCCCTCCTCCCCACCGGGGTCCCTGCCCGGAGAGTCCGCGCGCGTCCGGGCCGCGCCCGTGCCCCGCAGCGGGGTCTGAGGCCCCCGCCGCCCCGCCGCCTGC